GACATTGCAACAGATGCGTGTGAATGTTAGTACGCTTTACCCTTATATAATTTAATAATCGTATAGACGGCTAATGCGCGATGCGCAACATCACGAAAGGGTGTTAAAAAAGTTCGATTTTTGACACCCCTGCGGAACCTTAGTTATCCACAAAAAGTTATTGTTTGGGACCCACATGAAATGTACAAAAATAGTTTTACATCCCAGAAATGCAGGAAAAGTAGATTTTTTAAATGTTATATTATGTCTCCTTTATAAGTCGAATTTTCGTATATTACGCTAAAACTTATCATTAGTCAAATGTATTGCAAAAGTTTCTCATAATTGGTACTTAAAGGTTTTAAGGCTCGCTGATCACGAATCTGTTATTAAATAAAAATAGCAAATTATGGAAATAGATGATCCAAAATGCACTTTGACATGCAGTTTTGTACGTAGGGTTACAATAATCGAATTTTTTATCAAAATAAATCTGAGCATGTTTTTTAGGACATACTAATTACAAATCTATTAATTAAATGGAAAAAAATCAATGATAACGGATTCCAAACGGCGATCCAAAGTGCTTGATTAAAGTTACGTTTAATATATTTTATAGAACAAAATGAATGCGCTATCTTTCGAGGTCTTCTATTGTACACTGTTAAAGTAGAATTACAGAAAAATTTAAATTAAAAAACTTCTGAAAGAAAGATAGATATTGGACAAATAATAAATACTAGCTGGACAGGTGAAAACGGCCTACTTGATCACTCTCATTGTCAGTCAAATCCAGAGACAACGGTGAGGACGTGATGATCACTGTCTTCATTATTATTTTTTATCTTTAGTGTTTTAATTTTTGTGTGTTTTATGTATGTTTTTTATCCATAGAATTTTTTTCAATTTATAATGCATCTATTAACAGGCTTTTTTTGAAAGGCTGTCCAGCTAGTATTTATCATTTGTCTAGTATCTACCATTTCCTTCAGAATTTTTTTAATGTAAATTTTTCTTTACCTCTTTTGATAACGCACCGTAGAAGCTCTAGAAAGATAGCGCATTTATTTTGTTCTATAAAATATATTGTGACTTTAATCGGGTACTACAAACACTTTGGATCGCCGTTTTAAATCCGCTATCATTGATTTTTCCATTTAATTAATGGATTCGTAATTAATGTGTCTTAAAGACCATGCTCAGATTAATTTTGATAAAAAATTCGATTATTGCAACTCTACGTACAAAACTGCATGCCACATGTGCATTTAATTTGGATCACCTATTTCCATAATTTGCCATTTTTAATAACAGATTCATGATCAGCGAGCTTTAAAACCTTTAAGTGCCAATTATCATGAGAAACTTTTGCAATACGTCCGATTAATGATAAGTTTTAGCGTGATGTATCAAAATTCGACTTACAAAAGAGACATGATATACGTAACATGAAAAAAATCTATTTTCCCTGCATTTCTAGGATGTAAAACTATTTTTACTATTTCATGTGTGTCTCAAACAACTTTTTGTGGATAACTAAGGTTCCGCAGGTGCTCCAAAAATCGGACTTTTTTAAACATTCTCCTTTAGCCAATATCAACTGAATGAGAATAGATCGTTCCTTTTAGGTCAGACAATATCCGGTTAGAACCTATCACAGTGACCGACTTAGAAGTCTGATTAAGTCATAAGAATAATGTCACAGAAATGACATTTGAAAGTTTTGTCGGTTGAACCATCGACAAGTTTCCGCGTGTGTGCTACTTCAAAAATATTATCTAGATTATTATAGACTAAAAAAATGAAAAAAAAATCATTTTACTCCGATAAAATTGATACTCGGAAGTCTTCGAAACATTCGTAAAATTTCTGAATGGATTCTATTCTCCCGTTCTCGCTTCGTGAAATGGAGCCCCAAGTGTCGATTTATCGTATATTTGCTCAACTGTGTACGCGACTAACTTTACACGTTACGTATTATACTATATTTACTACTCTGGCCATTAAAGGCAAATCGCGATATAAGAAAAGAAAGGAAACGATTTTTCGCGCTCAAGGATTCTTTCATTATTTAATAGAAATTTTTCACGTTGCAGATGCTCCTCGAAAAAGCACATTATTACGATACACAGATACAAGAAGAGAATACGGGATCGTTTTAGGTCGTATTAGAAAATAATATTACGTTGTATTAAATTTTCAATGTATCATGAAAGGTAATTATTCAAGCTATACGGATGCCGCAAAACAAATAATCGGCGTTGGTATTTCAACAGCTGGGCATAATATTTGTGCAAATAAATCAATTAGTCTTGTTTTCTCGGATTATAAATCAATTTTGAGGTCAATCCATAAATCAATACTCACTTAAGTCTATTTTCACAATGTACGATTACCTAAAGGTTAAAAATTACCAAGAAGTTTATTGTTTAACGACGTTTGATTAGGACTTATTGTTAACCATCAAGTTAACTTAATGCCAACTCAACTGATGTACACGTAACCTTTAGTTTATTTGATTATAAGCTTATTAAAGTGTGGTTTAATTAACTTTCAAGTTTTAGTTAACTTTTTCGTTAACCATATATTATGAAAATGGGCCTTATTATGTCAATATATTTGTCACAATTAATTTCCGTGACAAATGAAATAAAAAAAAGAATAGCCAATATGGATTGCGATAAACAGTAATGATGAAGGAACTGACTGATTAATGAGATAAAGCACGCTTTATCCGCGTTGCGAAATTCTGCATAAATACGCAACTTGTAAATTACAAAATGATTTTAACGTTCGCGAATTTCAGACAAAGCTGGAGGCAGCGAAAGAAATCGAAGCGAATTCGCCTGACTCCGACAGGACAATGTCTCCACGTTCGTAGGACCGGATGTTCGGGTTCGCGAAGAATTTCGAGGATTCGAGAGTGAGAGACGATGGTTTTACGGCTGCTTGGCAACGAGGCCAGGCACCTAGCCAGACGAACCAGCCAGACGAACCAGCCAGCGGCAACCGGAGGCGCCTATCGCGGGTCCGACGATCTGTTGAGGTCAGAGCCCCTCTCACAAAGAAGGGCCCCTCCCTTGGCGCCCTCGAACGTTTATATAGGGTGTCCTGCTGATACTTTACTATCGCGTTGCCTATAATTGGTGCATGTAATTTGCACAGGAAAACAACTGTTTGTTACATTACTTGAAATTAATCTCAAGACCTTTATCCCTCAGGGAGTAAACACAAAAGACGGAAATACATTAAAAGAAGAAATAGAACCGGAACATTATGACAAACCGGGATTATGATAATACAACCGATTTTCTTCGGTTTTTTAATTTTTTTTTTTTTAGACACATTCGACAGATGTGTATTTCCACTAATATGAATTAATTTTATTCTAGGTTTCACTTACTTTTCCTCTTTTTTCTAATTTACTACTGAATTAAAATTAATCTACATTGATATAGAAATGGATAAGAGTCGTGAATATTGTAAGCAAACAGGAATCCAAAGATTAAATTTTTAACGGAAATAACGATGTTTTTGCTTTATCTAATCAACCGTTTTGTATACTAATGTACAGAAACACAAGATTAATTAAGCAAAACCTATTTGTCCGTTAAAAATCATTTAAATCAAAAATATTTAACTTTATAATATATGTTATAGCATCGTTCCAATCATAGATTTCTCAAAACTGAATTACAGGATATAATAGAATTCTGATTTGACGAAAATATTTGCGTGTGTGTGTGTGTGTGTGTGTGTGTGTGTGTGTGCGTGCGTGTGTGTGTGTGTGTGTGCGTGTGTGTGTGCGTGCGTGCGTGCGTGCGTGCGTGCGTTCGTGTGTGTGTAATTCGGAAATAATTGTAACTTGCAAATAATGTGATAGTTTAGGCTACAAAATGTGTTAACTGACGCGTTTGTCGGACACAGCAATAATAAATAAACGTCATTTATTGTTACTACGCTTTATGTATTTGTCACCTATAATGCTTCAATACAACGACTGCTATTGATTCTTATTTAAAAAAAGCTTTTATATGTGCTGCGCTAAATGGCTAGACATAATTCATTCTGGAAAGTCCAGAGCTCCAAGAAAAGATTTTATTATTATAGTATAAATACGCTACGCAATGTCCGATATCCCAACAATTGAATGACTCGTTGAGGCCTCTCGGCAGATAATGGCAGTGATAAATGAAGGCAAATTGAATCAAAGTTCGATAACGACGATATGTATACCTTCTTAATAGCAAGATAAAACTTTTTCGCACGTGTAAAATGTTTTTCCGATTGCAGTAAAAGTTATTAGCGAAGAAGAAACAAAGAATATAGCGATTTCAGAAAAATTTCAAGATCAGAAAATATTAACAAAGATTATCAGCTGTCACTTAGATTAATTACGATTAAATGCGATTAATTTCAATTTAGTATCCCTAAGTCTCTCAACGTTTTCTGGATAAAACTTAAAATTCAACGTTTACTCTACAGCATTAATGAAAATCGGCAATATTGGTAAATTATAAATCGAATTTATATATAACATATTTTTGTATATAGTAATCAAAAACTTCTGGGACTTCGAAGTACGATTCCTGGACAGACTTTCAAACATCGTTTACCCGAAGAACAGAAGTTATCGCGTTTTTCTGCGACATCTGAAACTTCGAGCGCAATTCCGAAGTACATACGTCAGTCTAGTTTTGTGCTCGTTAATTTCGTCATCGTGCTGACCTATGACCAGCTTGCGACACCGATCAGCAAACGGAACGGGCCGCACACGAGGAGGCTCCCCTGGCATTCTTTTATCAGCTTGGAGGACCGTGTGAGAGACGTGGCCTCACGAGTGTTCGTATAAACAATTTCGAAATTGCCGTTCCCGTAAAATCACGGCCGTCAACGCCCGTGTTTCACGCAGCGTTTCCGCGAAGTAACCGAGCGCGGCCTATCATGCGCGCGCGGCGCGATCGGGCGAGACGCGCGACGACGTGCAGACGCGGTAGACCTAAATAAAAAAAGCTACTCACCCATATGAGCGAGGTCGATGATCGGGATTTCGCACTTGCTGACAAGAGTCTCGCAAGTGTGCGTGACCATGGGCGCGTTGGTACAATAACTCATCCTGACAACTGGAGTCCCCTTGGAAATCGGTCGAGATTCCTTTTACACCGGATCGCTCCCTCCTCGTCTCTCTCTTTTTCACTCTCTCTCTCTCTCTCTTTCTCTATCTCTCTGCGAATGCTTCGTCACAGCCGACCTTTCTCTCTCTCTCTCTCTCTTTCTGTACGCTGGCAGCGAGAGCGACAGCAAAAAAAAAATACACCGCTTCACACTTCGCGCGCCGCGAGCGACTCGGCCACCCGGTACAAGGCGCTCACCACACGGGATTCACTGGAATATCCAAGAGAAGATCATACTACTGTGCGCCAGATACACACACGATCCACGACGATCCACGCGCGTGTAGATTCAATTAAAAGGGTGCAAAACTCCGTATCCTCCGTGTCACATGCGTGAAAGCGAAAAGAACCGCGAGGGAATATGGCTGTCGCTAACGGTAGCCGTAAGAGACGAGTTTGTTGTGCGGCTCGCGGTGCGGTAGGCGGTATACGTGGCTTCGGACTAGTGGGCACATGCTACGACTACGTGATGTGGTTTAAAGGAGCGATTACTTGGTTGACTTTCGACACACTACCGCCGCAATCCGTTCAACCATACCGTCGCACAGCCGTTCACGAACTGCTGAATACTGTCGAACGGCGCGACCGTTTGGCCGAGTCGAGCGTCGAGCATTCCGCGCGCTCACGAAGGCCCCCGATCGCAACCGAGCGCCTCCGAACGCTTCCGTGCGCTCCCGAGCTCCGTTCCAAGACTTCCAAGAATCATCGAAGACAGTCCGCAGAAAATCCACCAGGCGAATTGTTTTTGAGAAGTTTGTTGAAAAAGAAAATCTCAGGCGTATTCTTCACATCAAAATTATCATAATCCTATCGACATCGAGACAATGAAATGTTTTATTACACTTTTCAGATTTGAATTTGCAATTGTCGCGGGAATTCCCCAAATTACATCACTCGAAAACAATAGTTACGATCTTATATCGTCGCAGCGCAACCTGCACATAATATTGTTATGTATTTATATTTTCAATTTTTTAAGTGCTCTTATATTTTATTCTGTAAATTACTTTTGATATTATCGATCTTAGCAAATTCTTTTTATAAACGTTATAATTACGTGCTTGCCACGTTTAGCGCAGGCAGGGTCTGTTCTATTATTATTTTATTGTATATTTTTATGACATTCTACACTGTTAGATCTATAGTGTCAAATTTAACCTTAGTTAAGTCGCCACTGCTCCTATTTAATAAATAGTTATTTTTAACTAAAACAGTGGAGTTAAATAATTTAAAACAGTTCAAATTTAACCCAAATTTGGGTTAAATTCTATTGTTTTATTTAAAAATAACTATTTATTAAGTAGGAGCAGGCGACTTAACTAAGGTTAAATTTGACACTATATATAGATTTAACAGTGTATTGTTAATTCGTATAAACAGTTTATTTATCAACTATCGATTTGATCAAATTATCAATTCTTTATTCTAAAATATTTTAATATTTTATTCCTGTGTCACATATTAACCATGGACGTAAGAAAATATGTATGGAGCATAACGCTGCAGGGTTGAAGCAAAGAGTGAGGGGAATGAAGTATCTAGTGTCACGGATATGAGAGAGCAAGGTGACGGCAGCAGATAATGGTTTTCCGTTTGCTTTTGTCTCCATTTCTTACTGGATAATGCATGAAGCACATCAAGAGATTCTTTCAATATGGAACCAGTCGCATAGAGGTGTGCGAATAGTTCGAATTCGAAATCGAATCTGCAAGATTCGAAATCGAATAGTTCGAGAATTTCGAATCAACAGTGGTTCGATTTCGAATCGATCGCCTAATATAATGTTAATCTGGGAAAATTTGATTCAGATTCGATTCGTATTCGAATTAAAGAGATTTAATTCGATTCGATTCGAAGTGAAAATTTTAGATTCGATTCGATTCAATTTCAAACATGTTATAAAAATTCGATTCGATTCGATTCGACCATGCAAAGGCTTGATTCGCACACTTCTACAGTCGCAGTAGGTGATTCCGTGTAAATTTATCGATTTTCATGCGGTCAAGCCGATCGAACGATCCAGTAATAGCGTCTACTATCACATCGCGCGACATTATCCGACGTCTCGGTTAATGTCTATAAATTGAGATATCAAGATGGGCCCGATGATTCTCTTCTATATTCTGATTCTATTCTTGATTCTATTCTTGATATTCTGATGATTCTATTCTTCTCTTTTGTTAGGCCTTATCCCCCTCGTCTAAAAGGGTACTTTGTCTAAAGGGTACGTTTCCCAAAATCCACGGAAAATCATTCTCTTTTTGCAGGAAACTTTTAGCATGTCGATCAGTGTAATAAACTTTGATTCCACCTCCTCTCTCTAACTCCGATAACAATTGTCACCTAAACTTGAAACTTCTCTGTGAATAATATCTCACTATAGGGTACCATTTGGCACACAGTTCAGTCAAAATCGAAGGTCCAAAAAACGGGCGATTTTTATTAGGGTCACTCTTTTGTAGTTCTAATTATACAAGTATATGTTTTAAATAATTAAGTATAAACCAAAGAATGTTACAAACAATTAATATGGGAAAGCGCCCACACGGTTAAAGCGAATCTTGGTGCTCGATAATATTCTAATGTATTAATCTTACAATTTTCGGTTCAAATAAATCACGCGGTCGCGCCGGCAGACCGCCGGTTTCTACGCAGCTCCGAACTGAGTAGGACGTAATATTACAATTAAATTGCCAAATGCAATCTAATAAATCGATGCTCGTATAACATCTATTTAAATCCTGTGAAAATAACTTGCGTAAAATATTATTTCAGCCAGAATTCGAACCTGGATCTCTCTACCCGGACAGGCGTTATATGTAACTTTTTAATTTATTATTTATATCATATGTATAAGTATTTGAAAAATTAAAATTGGTATTTACTTATTTCAGAACCGTTTTAAATAATATTTAAAAATGCTAAAATGCACAGCCATTCATCGGTTTATAACTTTATAATATTAAATATAAGATTCGACTGTGGATATCAATCTAAGTATATAATATTGACAGATATAAATTTTGTTATATATATATATATATATATATATATATATATTACAAATATAAGTAATAAAAATAGTTTTTATTAATACAAAGATAAGTTTTATCATTTAAATTTACAATGGATTTAATTATTTTTAAGAAAATATATTTTTATATTAATAAAAAAAATTTCTCTGTTGCTATATATATTGTATTATACTTTTTACCTGTAAATTTTTAATATTTAACATTAATACAATTGTAAAGTTATATTTATAAAATAGTTGTCAATATCCTGAAATCTAATTTATTAATACACATTAAATAAATATTTATTATAAAATTAATACATTAAATCATTTTTAATTGGAAATTATTAAATAATGAATAATTATATCTCCAGTAACAAATAATGAAATAATTAAAGTACGAAATGACCACTTAGCAATTATTTCGCCGCATCACATCTCATTTCTTCCTAGTCTTCGCGTCCTCTCTTGTTGTTATTTTCTATTGCTGGTCCTTCACGGCTGGCATGTTCATATCATAAAAAGAGGCATTAATTATTAAAATACAACAATTGCACGGTACTTTATAAGATATCCTTTACGTTAATTATATGCGACGCACATTTGACAGCAGAAAAGCAGGACTGTACGAAATTACCTCGCATTAATTTTGCATTACGACGCGAATTAAATGTAAAACTTGAAATTACAGATGGACCGCGATACTGGCAATTAATATCGGAAGATACAATTGTCGTGTCACAGTTATTGCTTTCTTGAAGGTTCGCGTCGTGGTTTTTTTCGGTATAATAAATCTCGCGAAATACACGTTCTAACGAATTGTCGGTATACAAGCGTCGAATTCATGTTACGTGATAGTCGACTATGTATTGTAATAAGTACAATTGTGGGATTAAATGATTAATACAAGTTCCACTTACTAAAGCGAGGAAGCCGCTTGTCAATCCATCTGCTGTTTTCTATAATTAAAATAACAACAATCGCGCGAGGACAATTTCACGCGCTAAAAATAATACCGCGACGCGACGCGCTCTGCTCCTCGCTTTGCGTTCGTGCGTTTTCTGCTTCTCGAACAATGCAAATAGTGCACGTTTGCCTTTTATGATTAAATTATTTTTTTTGCATTATAACGCAAATTAAATATAAAAATTGCAGATCAATATTCGCGATACTTGCAATATCCGACAACAACGTTGCTCTGCTGATTATTCGTGCGACAGATTTTTCGATGCAGTAAAATCTTGCGAAATAAATCTAATATCTTTTACCAAAATGCCAACGCTGAATCTACGTTACGCAATAGTTAACTATTGCAATGAAAATTAATATAAATGCAAGATTAATATAAGTTTTACGAGGCATTTTTAGTTTGGTTTTACAAGCGTATTGTGTAAGAGTAAGTTACCTAATTTGACTACTAAAAATATGTCATTTTTTAATAAAAAAATATCAGAAAAAAACATGATATAATTGAAAACATCAAATGTTATGATAGACAAAAATTTTTTTTATTATATTTTTTGAGATTTCAAAATTATTCCATATGCTAACGATAATTGCAGTAAATAATATTAGTAAATTTTGTAATAGAGTACCATTAAAATATAAAATAAATTTTTCTTATATCTAAGGAAAAATTAGATGCCGATAGTAACAATTACTATATAACTTTTATTTTAAAAGCGTTTGGTATAGCATAGATCAGACTAGGCAAGATAACGTATTCTAGTAATTAAAAAGGCTAATAGTATTTGTATAATGATCAAAATGATAGTCATAATGTAAGCAATTATGACGATTCTGTGAAGAATGGGACTGATGATTTCCGCGCAGCCGTTCACATTTTTTTTTTCGTTTTGTCATTCGTCATCTCTAAGTGCATACAAGGTGCCATGCGCACAATTTGCAGTTACTAAAAGGGACTCTAAGATCTCTATAATCTTCGTCCAAGATCCTGTTTTGTTCCGTTCCATTTCATCTCGAGACGCGTAATCTATTTTCTTGTCGAAAATATGCATATATTTCCAATGTTATATGTACATATTTTTGTATTGATTTTTCTCATCTTTTTATTAAAAAGAAAAGTTCTTTATCTTAAAAATATTTATTATATTTTTTTTTACAATTTCCTATTCAATTTCCTAGGAAATATAATAGAAAAGCGACAATAAATTACAAAATACCAGCATCGTAGAAAATACATATATGTAGTTATTTAATAAAATTTTTCGAGAATTTTTAAGAAAAAATTGAATAAAAAATTATATTGTACAACAAATCATTATGGACAAATCAAATAATTAAACAGAAGAAAAACCTATGAGAAAAACAGATTGTTTATTCGTCGTTATTTGAATCTTTTAGGATGTTTTACATCTGCAATCAATATAATATTAAAGGATGGCGTGCCAGTCAGAGAGAATCAATATAAGAACAGTGATCACAACATTGTAACAGAAACTTGATCTCGTCGATTGCGTATTTATATGACGCAACAGATATATACTTAGAAACGTTGAAGATATGGATTAAAATCACCTTACATTGATATGATATCCTATCAAAGTAATGTCGTTGTGTTCATGGCAATACATATGATTATCATTGTCAAAAGACACTTTGGCACCTGTTTAGTCTTTGGACAAAAAATTTGATTTGCGCCTACAAGTACGCATCCAATATTATAAGTCACTCCAAGAAATTGAATCCAAGAATTAAAAACGAGTAATAAACATTGTAATAAAAAATAATATAATTTTATATTATTATTAATGTAATATATTTTATATAATATGTAAATTGTTTATTCTATTAATTCGATATAAGTTGAAGATACTTATATCTTAATTATTATAACTTGTTAGTTATAATAATTTATAGTTAATTATAACTGGCCTTTTTTGTTACCTCTGACTTGCTTCTCGAAGAAGGATCGGTCAAAAAAATAATTACGTACTATCAGAAAGATTTTGAAATCACATGAATAAATATTATATATTCTTCGATAGGTATACGCCTCACTTATTCATCTACTCTTGTAAGTAGGTGAGTATTACGTACGATGATAAGGGTACACGGCAATCCCAGAGTCATGTCTGCCAAGGTAAGGACGACCGGTTGGAAACCACCTGCGATACCTGGATCACCTGTCACTCCGCAAATATCTCCAAGGCGAGCACAAGGAGACGCTTCGCCTCAAAGACGGCCAGCATGAAAGCCACGCCGTAACTGAAGTTTTACCTCCCATCCGCAGGTGCAACTTACTCTTTTGCGGTAAACCAGGTTGTGACCATTTTCCGTCAATAGCTGCGCAACGTCGCATCGCTATTCAGATAACCAAGCGCGTGTCTCAGCAAAATCGTGCAAATTTGTGATCGCCCGTAACGCTGGCAACTTGTTGTATATTTGTCTTCAACAATTTCGAGTATATTGAAATTGAAGCAACACGCAGGTAATGATGTGTGTATTGCCAGAAATTTTATGATAAAATAGCAGCGTCAAAGTCACTTCGCGTTGTCGGCAGTATGACAACTTTCTGTAATTGTACAAATTATTATTGCAACATAACGGCACGAATTTTGAATCAGTTATATGATAAATTGCTGGCAAGATGCTGGCAAGTTGCTAATCAAAGTTGTCATATCGACGGAAACGTCAATTTGCTAACAAATACCAATTCAGATGCTACAATTTTAGTAGCAATATCTGTTTTATAGACAATTCCGCGCTTTGTTGTATTATTATTTTTTTGTTGCAGTATTTTTCTTTAATTGTCTCGCGTATAAAATATGTAATATGGTATATATCCAGAAATTTCAACGGGCTATATTGTTTCACCGATAGTGATAATTCCACCGAACATCTTAATTATGCGATTTAATTAATTAAATAAGTAATAATAATTGTAATTTGAATAAAGCCGCCTATGTGAATAACATAACTGACTTTGAGAGCGCCTTTCCGCGGTCACGGCTTAGGTGCCTAACGAATTCTATATGGTATGAATTTTCTTAACTCCATGTACAGTTAAGCTCTAAAATCTAAGATCCAGCCGTGACCGCGGAAAGGCGCTCTCGAAGTCAGTTTAATTAAATAAGATTTGGAAAAATTACGGCATAAAATAATTCTACGTATACATTGTTCTTACTATGTTATAAAATTCATGTGCTATTATACCCAATCGGCAAACAATGTTTTTAAATATTTATTTAATACTATAATGTTAAATAAGTATTTAAAAAATATTTAAGAAACATTGTTTGTTAGTTGGATATGTGTAATATATTGTGTGTATATTTAATTTAATTAAATATTTAATTTTATAAAAAAACAAGACTGCTGTGCAAATAAATCCTTATTTCTACTAACAATGACGAGGTGATAATATTTTGTATTTTACAATTTCTCGTCACTACTTGACTTTAATATCTTAGTATACATATGATATTATTTCCCAGTCGAATTGTCACGGATGCATTGTGGCTGTAGCATGTGCACCGTTTATTACTCATCATTGTTGCACATACCGGAAAAGTGTATATAAAGAAAAAAAATTGTTTTGACGAGATACAATTAGACATGCCTCTAATTGACGTGGCTTGCAAATAGGTTGCGCATATTACACATGTCTTAAAGTAATTACCACGAGTTGCACAATTTGTTCATCTCGAAATATTCTAGCTGTTTAATTGCATAAGTCTGATCATCCATTTCTAATATACCTTACTGGTATATAATCGTGAGATTTTGTCAGTTAATAATTATTTACCAATAATTAATAAAATAATGATTAGTATAATATAAATACAAATTTTATAAACATAATAATAATAATATTACTTTTTTACTATTATATTAATGATTATATAAAGATTACAACATATAATAGAAGAAAATTATTTTTTATTTAATATCAAAAATAATGAAACAGAATATAATATTTGTAGGGGGGGGATTGCATTTAAATTTGGTCTCTTATCAATAATAATAATTCTCACTGAATAGCTAATTTCAATACTTTTTTAATACTGGTTTACTTTTTTAATGTTGAGTAAGATCAATTTAGCGATTGAGAGTCAAGATAAACTGTGAGATTATTTAAGGCAATTGATTTTTCGCGTTACAAAATTTAAGAACATTTAAATAAAACTTACTAGTAAGCATCGTGCGTTAAAATGAGATGATTTCTCGAAAAGAGAATTTACCCTAACAAAAACTTTTTCTTAAAAAAAAAAAATTTACGCCAAGTATATAAAAAAGTATTGTACAATACATTTTTCCTAAACCAAAAATATTATTTTAACAAATAAAGTTGTCCAAAAACAAATTGTCCAAATATGAGATCATACAAGTTGTCAAGTATATTATTAGACGTAGAGACAAAAATATTTTTTCAATAAATCGTTTAAACCATCCAAAAGTATATGCAGCAAAAGTTTAATCCATTGTTTTTCCAAATAATTTTAAGTTTCATAAAACAGGCTTAAAGTGGCTAAAATAATCAATAGGATCATAGTGAAGCAAAGATGCTACATCAAGCGAAGCGGTAGTGGCGCGACGTTAATGTATACTCGTACAAAAAGTCGGGTGATGACATGTGAATATACGGCACTGTCGAGGTGCCGCTAACTTTATCTCGAAATTTCGCCTCGTCAGATTTTCGATTTTATCTTATTAATAATGTAATCCGGGCACGCCAAGTTTTTGCTTCACTATGATCTCATTGGCCTTAATTTACACCGTTAAATTAATTGATACAAGTATTAGATTAATGCGGACTAACTATTTGATACGCCACTGTTTACACCACTGATTCATTTTAAAATAAGTTATGTTAGGTTTTATTTCACAAAACTTCTAATTCTAATTTTAATCTTAAAGCAATTGTGACCTAATGCAGCAGTGATGAATTTAATCTAGAGGTGTGCGAATCAAGCATTTGCATGGTTGAATTGAATCGAATCGAATTTTTTATAACATGTTCGAAATCGAATCGAATCAAATCTCTTTAATTCGAATCTGAATCAAATTTACCCAGATTAACATTACATGTTAATTAAAACGTAATAAATATCAAAATGACGACCTTTATGATTTACATCTTATTACAAAGGATCATGATCCTATGTGACATTTTGAACTAGAAAATATTAATAATATGTGTATACACGAATAGTCAGAATGCTTTCGAATATTTTATTAATCTATATGAATACGTTATACATATATCAAAAATACTTATTTATTAGATAAGAATAATTGGTCGCGCGGGAGATGTAAATGAACCAAATAAAATAGGCGATCGATTCGATTGTTGATTCGAAATTCTCGAACTATTCAATTTCGAATCTTGCCGAAAACGAACTCGAATTAAATCTACTGTGATTCGATTCGATTCGATTCGAATTTGAACTATTCGCACACCTCTAATTTAATCCGATTGAAAACAAACTTAGTTTACAGTACACAGGATCTTTTTATACGCGTACTATTTTGGTCTAATGCTAGGGATTCAGAAATATCAGACGAGACCATGCTAAGATAATTCGCGAACGTTTATACTGACCTATCAAGTGATTTGATACCGATTTAGTATTAGTATGCGTATCAAATGCTTGGTGTAAACTAGGCCAATTGCTCATTTTAGTCAGTCACTTAATTAGGCCTGTTTTATAAAACTTATTATTTGGAAAAACAATAGCATTAAACTTTTGCTGCATATACTTTTGGATGGTTTAAACGGTTTATTAAAAAAATATTTTTGTCTCTACGTTTAATCAAATATTTGGCAACTTGTCTGATCTTATATTTGTTTTTGGACAATTTATTTTTGGGCAATTCCGATATTCACTATTAGTACTGACAGTCTATAATACAAATACTCATATCTAATGTGAATTATAGATTTTCAATATTGGTAGTAACATGGGAATGTAGTCTGAGAGTACAAAATATAGAAACAAAATATTTTATAAAATATATTAAAAATTTATTATAAAAAGAAGAAAATAAAATGATAAAAAAGTAACGATAAAAATAACGACAAATTCGTTAAAATGTAGCAACATTACCGTTGCAGAAAAAAGTAACGATTGTTACTATAAAAAGTAAAGAATACGATATTGGTGTTACAAACAACGCCTTACTTCCCAACTATACTTGTATGTGGATTTTCTTTATTAAAACTCATTTTAATATAATTTTTTATAAAGTAGCCGATAATCTTTTGTTAATTTGAACTGAATTAAACTTTGAATTAAACTGTCAGTCAAAGTGATAATGAAATATATTGACCTTTGCGTAATCTTTTCCATATTTCCAATAAGCGAGATAGGGAAAATTTCTTACTAAGAAAATCGAGTGTCGCATTAAACCATTTAAAATTGCGCGAAAGAATGGGGACCACCAAGCACTAGGTCGCATCAAGTATTTCAGTACAAAATGTTGTAAGTTGAACAAATACCGGCTGTAATATGGCATAGTCGAAGTATCTGAAAATATATTATTATATATTATTTGTTAAATACATATATTATTAAGTTATTATTAGAGGAGAAAATGATATTATGACCCCGATTTATATTTTATACAATAACTTTGTGTATAATTAATATTTAAATTGAAAACTTGACGATTACAAACGTCAAAATGTTCAATCGATACCAGACTTAAAGTTATAAAATTTTATTTATTATTTATTATTTTATATTTAACTATTTATATAACTGTTATTATTTAAGACGTTATTTATAAAAATGTTGCAAATGCATATAAATCGAAGAGAATCAGAGATGGTAATGTGGTTTCTCACAAGAATAAATTTAAAAATTGATTTTATTTTTAAAAACACATTAATCAATTGCAAAATTCAGTATTTATAAGAAAAAATAAAATAAAATATTGCAGAATGAATGTAAATATGTATATATGTATATGTGTGTATTTACATATATAATTTACATAATATACATATATAATTAAATGTTAAAATGTACTTTGAAATTACATTTCTAAATGCTTGAAAATAAAAATGCATTGTGATAAATGTCAACTATTGATCATGATTATTGACATATTAACATCATTATTGTGTAACGGCGGGCTGCTAAACAAATAATTGCATAAATAAATCACTTATAAAATTCATTATTTAGACTATTTAGAGTGTAAGAAACACACTCTCTGCGCTATTTGGCATTATGCCATTTTTTTATTATCCATTAAATGTAAAATCAAGTTAGAATGACGTAACAGCGCGCTGCCTGAACGCATCCCTAATTAAGAGGAATCATTTACCTATAAGGGTCATAATACCACTCTCTCCTCTATATATTATTTGTCGTATGCAAATGATACATATACGTACACATATATGTATTGTCTCTTATACTCAAAAGTTTACAGATTACTTAAACTAAAACTAATCACAAAGAATCTGTGAATTAAACTTATTTTCCATAATCGATATATTTTTTTAATTTTACCAACTTCGTAAAACTCTTATTAACTTACCCATTTCGATGGTATGATTATTGTTACGCGCAGTCGAAGACGCCAAGTAAAGTGTAAAAGCAGTGAACGCTACAGGCTCGATATTAAAGTTGATGGGCCAGAGACTCTCCAACATCACAGTGCCCATATAATTGAAATTTTCGTTTCTATTTGATAGGCAAGGAACAAAAACCTCTTCTAGTAGTCTTTGGCAAAGAGCGCGGGTTTCTTCGACAGTTCCCGTGCATAGGTTAAATCTAGAAAAAGAAATATTTATAAGTAAGTTATGTAAGTTGAGTATATATATTTTAATCACAAATTCAAATAACTCTGACGAACAATTTTACTAACAATTAATAAAATATCTGATAACGATGCTTACATCTGCTACCGTTTACGTTTTCGTTTTACTCTTTATATAAATATGATAATTTCTAAAAATTGCACGCTAATAAAAAGATAGAGATACAAACCTGTCTTCCATTCCAAGCATGCTGCCAATGACTCTCCAGAGATGCACCACACCGTCCATTTCCTCAGGAGTGACTTTTATTCCTAAATATTCTTCGCTTATAATACTGTAGCCGATGAATCCGAATTGGGCGAGTGTCATGTCCAATTGCGTTGGCTTATGAATACCAGCTTCAATGCTTTTTTTGAACGCAATACAATGTTTTCGACGTACGATTTTTAGAGATTCCAAAAATCTACAATAATTATTATATGTATAGTTTACTGCGACCGTACATAATACGTATATTGTAAAAATAAAAAGTAAATTTCTCGCATTATGTTCCAATAAAATAAAAATTGTTAAAAATTATTATACATAAATATCATAATATATATATATATATATTTTTTTAATTATATGTGTGAATATATATATCTCTCATTGCAATATATATTAGCACTAACATTTTGCTTAGCTCATTTCTTCATTCGTTATACGTTTTTAATTTATTCCGTTGAGCTTGTGAAGACTATTTTTTTTAAATTATTGTATCTATATTTATTATATTTTTTAAATAAATTTTTATAATTTTGAATTTCTCAAAACATACGAATAGTTTTGTAACGGCTTTTAGTATTTATTAATTTTTTTTATTTAATAAAAATTTAATAAAATAATCTAATAGTCTTAATAATAAATATATATTTTTATAAATTTATCGTATATTATTTTTCATTTTTACCAATTTCAGAATTTTCGGTAATTTTGTATTAATAACTTACTATCATATATTCCATATTTAATAATTAAATATTTCTAACTAACAATTGAGAACTTAAAACGCCAACACGGTACAAAGCGGATCTTGGTGCTTCCATATAATATTGTAGTGTGAATCTTACAATTTTCGGTTCATATTTTTCGGTAATATTATATCTCTGAACGCATCCCTAATTAAGAGGGTTTTAAGTTCTCAATTGTTAGTTAACATTCCACGGTCTCCCTAATTAAGAGGATTTTAAGTTCTCAATTGTTAGTTAACATTCCACGGTCTTCTAATACTTAATTAAATATTTTAAATATTATTTTTATTTTTAAAGATTTTTATTATTGTTTTTTCATAGCCTTTTTTACATAATAAATTTTTGTTTTCTTTTACTATAATAGAATCTTACTCATTGGGTTTTCCATTGGGATCTTTTTCATGCCATATAAATGTATGAAGAATCGTCTCTGCATATCTGCGATACGCCAAACAAGGAGTACCGCTTTTTTTGGTAAACATAACTACATCCAATATATTTGAAATGGCTAAGAGGGACACGAGGCCGCAAAGTTTTGCGATCATCATAGAGAACACGTTATTATAAAAGGCTTGCTGACCCAACCGGAATTTCTTTTCGTCGTAGAATGGCGGTAATTCTGGTTTCATATTCTCGAAATCCATTATACTTTTGGAGCCTTCGGTGAGAATAATTCGCAGTCGTTCCTCCACCGCATCTAAAAATTCAAATTTCCGGATAAAATTACAAGCAATTTTGTGTAATAAATTTCAAAATATTTTATTTATGCAATGTAGTAAAGTGTGGAATGTTTTTACCCGATAAATATTTTATTTTATATGTAATAAACAAAAAGAGTATAAAAATTACGTAAGATCTTACAACTACATAATGTTTATAAAAATAAGTAAAAACGCAAATTTTGACTGTAATTAAAATCATCTTCGTGTTGTCGTTAAAAATTACAAATTTTATGTTAAAGTATTCATTCCTTCTATAAAAGTATCAAAAATTGCATGAAAAATGATTATAAACTTCAGTGTCTCACAGTTAATATTTAAATTAAAACAGTTTTATATCGGATTGATAGTAAAACGCTGGCATCCAAAATCTTCAGTTAAAAGGTCAATTGTTAATTATTCTTGCATTTTGATTAAGTTTTAGAATAACTGTGATGTCACTTCCAATATCCGTTATTCCGCTAATATCTGTCATTATATATAAAAAAAAAAAAAGAAAATGAGAAAAATGATAATGAGTGTCAAACAATAAAGAATATTATCAAATAAATTAGTGTACAAAATTACTACGGCGTAAAAAATAAACATGCAGACTTAAATTAAAACTTATAATTTGAAACCATAAATTAAAAAATTTTAAATTTATTAAAAATTGTTAATAAACTGAAAGAAAGAAGTATCTGTGAGGTAACCATCACTATATTCTTTCCAGAAATAAATGTAAAAATAAATTTGATACATAATTCCTTCTGTGCCAGTGAAGCAATGGACAAACTAAACCTGAGCAAGGAAAGAAATAAACGGAATTCCAAGAGTGATGAAAGAACGAAAAGTTTAACACATTGAATACATTAGGAGAGGAATGGAAGGTTGAGAACACACAGAAAGTTATAGTAAAAAATTAATCGCTCTGCTTATTAAGTCCAGGATGCTGTTTTTTTACATGTATCATTATGTAAACGATCCTCTTATTAAAAAAAGGTTCAACTATCCAAAATATATATTACACATATATTATCCCAAATGAATTCATGAGTATTCTCCAATCGCGATGATAGGAAATCACCGATAAAAAACCAGTTAATTTATTAATGTTCGAAAAATATTCTCTCTTTAATTCTGGTTTTTAACTGTCTGGTATGATCTATATACATAGTCTACATATGTTGCATTACAATCCTAACATCTATAATTTTGTAAACTATATCGTAATGCGAAAGAGCATCTAAATGATCTTTTCCAGTTTTTATATATTTGTTGAGAGAATTAGTCATATATTAAAAAGGCTAGATTGAGACCATATTTTTTGGCTATTGTTCTAATTCTCCGAAATATTTCTCATATGGGATTGTAAAGAAAGTTTTTTTGTTCTTTTGTTCTGTTGTTATGACACAGATTTCATTTAAAATTTTTTCATAATTTTTTGTTTGAAAAAGATTTGATACAATTTTTTTATTATTGTAAAAATAAAATCGAGAGGATAACTTTATTATTTATACATATGTTAATAATCTCTTTCAAAATCTTTGAATAAAATCATGAGTGTGATAAAATATTTTACATGTTCCGTTTTTAATATACTTGTTTTTTTAATTCAATACAAAGGATAAAACCACGTGTTTTTAGCTGTTGGTGAAATTGACTGAAACTGTAGTATGTTATAATTTTTGACTCACTGATCAAGTTTCCTGAGACACAGAGCTTGAAAATGCCTAGTTTTTTTGTTACGGACGCTTAAAGTGTTGTATTTTATTTTAAAATATTAAACTTATTTTTGCATTATCAAATAGTTAAATAAATGCTTTTAAGAGCATCGTAAGAAATTTTCAAGCATTTACATTTTTTTTTATTATAAGCATCCAAGCCTAATTCTATGAACTCAACATTGTTTGCACATGTAATTCGCAGCTCAAGCTGGTATCATTTTATAAACTGCCAAATTTTTATACGAAGCAAATATTGATACACGTTGACAGCTCTATAACAATACAACACTATAACATAATACAATTTTAAAAACCCATGGTTTCGTGCGGGGTCCTTTTTTTCTTTTGTGCATACAAATTATATAGATTATTATTATTTATTCATTTAGAATTTTTATTTTTTTTACATATAAACGTGTATAATTACTGTATAATTGCTGTATAATTTGTATGCACAAAAGAAAATAAAGGACTCCGCACAAAACCATGGATTTTTGAAATTGTATTATATATACATATATGCAAGGTTTAAAGAAATTTTTTTGTTATAAAAAGTAAATATTTTGGATTTCTAATATTTTATTATAGTAGTAGACAGTATAAAGTTTTTACTATAGTATAGTTTATTTACCTTAAACATAAAAAATAATATTTGATAAATTAAGTTTTTTAATAGGTGCGGCGTATATATTGGAATTACCCTGTATTTATTAAATATAATTATTTTTGCCCGATCAATAGATATACTTGCTCGTGTTATTTTTAATTGCTATGTGAGTAATCATGTCTTGTCCGTAAATTAGAATACTATATATCATGTCAAATTGTTAAAATTCATGAAATTTCCTGAATTCCATTCACGCGCACAAGCACAGATGTTAATGTTGATTTCAACATTTCTACATGCGGAACATGTACAATCAGTCGTGTGATCGCTCGCACGACATCATTACATGTGTCCTCTTGTTCCGTCAAGCGTGGCTTTGGAAATTCCCAATTGTCCTGTACAATGGGTGATTTGAGCAAGAATTCCTTTTATAACGATACCTTGATCAAATATGAAGTTAATGATAAGAAGAGAAATTAACATAAGAATTTGAAACAATAAAACAGGATTTTAATCTTTAAAAAGAATTTTTAAAAAAGTCTTTTTAAATAATACGTCTTATGTATACAGGATATCCCATTTTACAAAAATCCATTAAGATTTCTCGAAAATTATGACAGATACAAAAAAATGTTTTGAACAAAAGTTATTTGACTTCAAGGGAGATATAAAATCCGATCACCAACCTCCCTATGGTGCGCATCGGGAAATGCCGACCATACATGAGAAAAATACAAGAGTTATTTTAAAATACTGTAACTTTGTAAAAAAAAATTGTAGCAATTTGCATTTTTTTTTTTTTTTTTTCAAATTAAAGAGGAAGGTCCGAGTTTTATAACGCTGCAAACGGCATCCCCGAGAAAAATTTGTGCAAGTCCATGCATATCAACATTGCAATTTTCAGTATTGGCAAACATGCTCTCAGATTTAAAAGTTTAGAGTAGTAGGGATGCATTAAATTTAAAATCGATACAGAATATCTTGAAGTATCTCTTAAAATGAAAAAAATCATCTACTCTTTGATTTAGCATAGTGCCGCACTAAGTTCAACGGTTTAAAACTTCAAACATAAAAATTTTATTATTTTCCGAAAACTTTTCGAGGGTAGTATATATATATATATATATATATATATATACAGTTTTACTTAATATTATATGTTTTTTTTATATATTTTTAAAGTCAATTTTTTAAACTTGGAATTGAATATAATAAGTCTTGTATACAATGATATTCATTAAATGTATCTTGTAACTTTGAAATAATTTTTAATTTTAAAGAAGTTTCAATATTAAAAAATATCATGCAGATTTTTTGTATATCTAATTAAACGTAGAGCATGTTCACTGATTTAGTTGTAAAGCTTTAAAAAAATCTAAAATTTGTTGTTTAACTGACAAGGGTTATGCCTTACTGCGCCTTTCTTAGTGCTACTTTCTTAGCGTTGTGTAATGCAGCAAAATACCAGATATAAGTCAAGGTCACAACATTCTCTTTCAAGATATCTTCTATTAGACATCATATATTGTATTTTTTTATTAATAATAATGAAAATAATTTGTCTACTGTCTTTGCTTTACTGTCAAGCATATTTTTTAATACTATTTATTACGTATACTAATTATATTTATAATATTCTATTTACACCACTTACTTATATTTTTTGTATCTTTATATATGCTTTATTAGTCTTTATTACTGCCATTGATATCATCATTATTTTTATATTAATTATTTCTTATATTAATTCAGGATCTGGGTTTGTGTGTATAATACAGTATTATTGCTAATGCCTCCTCTCTTGGCTTTTCATTTTACCCAGATCATATTGAGGTTTATAGCTAACTTTAGGGAGGGGGGTGTTATTCATCGATTTACAAAAATTTATTTTTTTCGACCCATTCTAATATATATATATATATCATATGTAACTACATATATATTATGTTATGTGTATTTTTTTGTAAGCTTTCCGATTATTTAATTTAATTATAACCTTTTAATCATAAATTGTACAAAAAATAATATCATATTTCTTATCTTTGTAGTTATTAATGCAAATTAATATAAACCATTTAAATGAAAATATTTAGTAGTTTTCAAAACTCGATCTATTAACATTCCAATAATATATCTTTTCCTTTTGAAGAGAAACTTTCACTAAATAATTCATGTTACCACATGCAAATTGTGTCTCGTTTAACATGCTCTATACATGTAGGTTTTAGTATATGTTACGAGAATGTTATATAACTTTTATATCTATATAGATACATATACATATCTATAGTTTTGTGGCATTACAAAATTTTTGCATTTGGTTCACTAAAAGTAACCTTGAAGAAATATTGCTGCTTGACGGTGCATTTATACATATTTTACAATTTTTTTGTCTATATTTATATTTTATTTTAATTATTTATTTACATTTTGTATTTCTTGTAGTTCTCTAGTATCTCTCGCTTATGTACAATTGTTCGTGTGTGTGTGTGTGTGTATGTAATATAAAATTTATTTTGTGTAATCTGAATCATATAATATAAATTAAATTTTATTAATAATTTTAATTTGTTTTTAATAAAAGTTAATATATTGTGTTATTGTGTCGATAATTCCCTGAAGTGCGATACAAATTGCTAATAATTATTCAACAAATGTTCAATGTTAAATTTAATAAACATTTTTTTAATTTCAGAAAGTTATAAGAGCAATATAAAAAGTTCAATATAAAAACTATTTGATTTTAACAACCATTACAATTTTTTTTCCAGAATCAGTTATGTTATTTACCGATAAAAAATAAAAAAATCGTTACAATCATTATTTTTATTTACGTGAGTAAATAAGTATGAGTAATTTTTGCGTAAGTGCCTACTTAATCGTCCAAATAGCTTTCAGATAGTTTTTCTTTTCTTCAGTTAAGTTTTTCCAGTTAAGTTTAATATAAATTTTGGATGTTATGATTAACTCTTTCTTTTCAAATGTGGAGAATCTAAAATTTAAAATAATATACATATATTGCAGTGTTTATATTTTTACAATAATGACTCTATGATTAATATATGATATCTTTAAACTATACCACATAGAACAAGTTATTAAGCAATATAGCGTTACAAAATGCAAACTGTCGATTATGTTGAAATATTGCCGCAATATATCTCCAATGATCTGTGCGCGCTGTATAGGATAATGTATAATAACAGAATTTGAATACTAGCCGAAGATTAAGTATACAGAAATTATGTCACAAATAAATTTAAAATGTAACTGTGTCATGATAATGTGGCGTTACAAGAACGCATTATTTTCCATCCCTAATATTATATAACTAGAACAGAAGTTTTTTTATCAAAATTATTATTTGAGATAAAGAAAATTCTATTCTAGAAAAAATAAATTTTAGTCAAAGAAAGCTTTAAAATTAAAAAATACATAATTTTAAAATATACTGCACAACGGTAAAAGAATTTAGTTAAAATTAAATTTATTTACATTTATATAATGTAAACAAATTTAGTAGAATATAATACTTCGTAGAATAATATTAATAAATTCATATTATATAAATTCTCATAAAATATCAAATAAGTTAATTTAAACAGCCCTAATTAATTTATATTTTACATATGTTATTCAATAAAAAAAACCATATTTTTTTCGTGCAAAATAACTGACCTGTTATCACAGAATTATCCGGAATATTTTTTGTCATCTTGGTTGCTTTATCTCGACATCAGAATATTGCGTTATAAATAAATAATGATGATTCACCTATAAAGGCAAACAATCTGATCTAAGAGAAATGACGGCACTGATGAGTAAAATCAATTAAAATAATATTTAGAGCGTGGTCCTGCGAAAGTATCACGAGACGTATACCGCGAAAGTCTCAACAGTACTGACCGTACTTAGACTTGCTACAGGAACCCGTTTCGCATCTTCTGTAGAAAGGAACCCCTTCCACACCTTTCTTTTTCCCTTCCAAACCAGAATTGACGATACGTTTCTACTTGGGCAACGCATAGTCTTGCAATGCTGAAGGAATGTACTTCCCATTATTCCAAAAAGAGATTCATGAAATTCTGCTTTAGTGAATCTTTCCTTTTTCTCTTCCTCTCTCTTCTTCTTTTCTCTTTCTCTTTCTAGCTCCCTAAATAATTGTCACCGATATCTTTAATTTCAAAGATTACACTTTTAACCTTCAACTGGTACAAGAGTTCAAACTCGCACGGCGAAAATTTTCGAATTGCTGACATTTGCACAAAGATATCTGTCGCGACTATTCGCCGGCTAGTCGCGGCACCAGTGTTCCATTAGTGGATGCTCGAAAGAAGTGTGAACCATTTAAAGGTTAATTATTACCATTTATACATTTATACATTTTTTTAAATTACTACAATTTATATTTTAAATTACATGATAAAAAAATTCTTTTGTGACGTGAGTTCAGTTTGCAGAAGTTTTGAAAATTACAATTAAAAATTTCATAACGTACATGCTTTGTGAAAAAAGATAAAAACGAAAAAATTGATGATGAAGGCTTCAACATCTTGTTTCTAATCATTTATTTTAACACGCTCACTGTAATGCGTCGTACAAATGCAACATTATTTGTTTTATGTTATGTAATACGTGTCCAAATCTATTTTCGAATGCGCGAAGTAAGAGTGACGCGTGATATCATGTCGCTTTCACATCGAGAAACGGAAGATCTTCCTGATTGTCAACTGGATGTAACAGTCGCGCAGATGCACTCTCGAATTATTAATTCCGCGACATTTTCGTCACTTTCAACTTCTCGAAGGAAGATGATTGAATCTTTTGCACTTGTGTCCACTCCACTTCCGACGCAAATCGCTATTTGTCACCAGAAAAAGTACGTGTCACTGTTTTAAATTGATCAGTGTGGCAGGTGGTCGACAAAACTGACTTTACTTCTTGATTGTACAATGCGTTTTAGCGGGTGAGAGTCAATTGCACGCCTCGTTTGGCATAAACAGAAAAGGGAAAGTCCTCCCTACTTCGCTCTACTCGCGTGGAATCTTTTTACGCAGCACGAAGCATCCAAATAATCTATCACGATAGACATGCTTAATAGTAAAAGCACAAGTAGAGGTATGTATATTATTTCGATTATTATCCGTTATGGAGCATTATCTATATACCTATTTATATCTCATACTATAAATCTAGATTTGGTGACAAAAATACGCAATTTTGAAGTGTAAACATATCCATATACTTTACCTCGCGTGCACAACACACACACACACACACACACACACACACACACACACACACAATGCGCGCGCGCGCGCATATATAATATATAATATATATAATTAATATAATGTAAATATTGTAAATCATATATACACACGCGCATGTGTAATATATAATTAATATAATATATTACATAATATATGTATATTTCTATATATTGCGAAGTGCGATGGCTCAGTGTAGGAAAATGTTTAGAGAAGTTCTTTGCAATAAGAAAAGAGATCTTCCTTTTCTTGCAAGAAACTTTTGATACAAAATGTATAATGAATTCGAATCTTTGTTCCAAGACTTATATTCACTTTGTGAGCTCGCTCTTCTAACAGATATAACAAATTATTTAAATAATTTAAATCTAAAGCTGCAAAAGATCAATCAAACAATTTCTCAATTAATTTCGTATATTGATTCATTTCGCAAAAAATTAACATTGCTTAAAAATATTGAAAATAACATTTTCCATTTTTATTCATCTTGCCAAATTCTCTTCGAAGAATACGGTACAAGTTGTAATTTTCAAAGACATTTACTTTTAATACAATCCCTAATAGACCAATTTAGTACGCCTTTTAATGATTTTGATATCCTTAGAAAAGATTTTATTTTATTTGAAAATCCTCTCACTGCGCAAATCGAGGAATAAAGCCTAGATCTTCAGACAGAATTTTGCGATTTGCAATGTGATATTTGTTTAAAAACGCGATCAGAAAAGGGTGTTGATTTTTTTTTAATTTTAAATGCGGCACAGCATCCATCTCTAAGAAACTTCGGTCTTCAAATTTTCTTTATGCTTTTGGCTCCATATATTTATGCGAACAATCTTTTTCCAAAATGAAATTAATAAAGAATAATAAACTTTTTTTTTTAGCGATGCATCATTATCCTCACTGATGCGAATTACTTCCTCCAATATTTCCGTTGATATACCATCTTCAATATAGCGTGCAACGACCCAGAAAATAAAATTAATTCTTTTATGTACATTCTATTTATTTCTTTCGATTCCTCCACTTTCGTTCGTTTTATATAATATTTCACGATATATAATACTGCCTTCCTGCCGAACCATTTTCTTGATTATTTTCTTCTTTTTAGTGGAACAGGCCTATTGGGGAAACCATTTTAAAAAAACGCATCCTACAATAGTATTTGATAGGTGATGTGGAAAGCTATTGTTCTATTATAATTATATTAATGCATAAACAGACTTCAGATATCATCGTTAACTTGTTAAATATCGCGTTCTAAACAAATGAGTAGCGCGAGAGATTTAGAACCTTCACCCCAAAAAAAAATATTCTAGTTGTAAAGTGAAATTTCCTCTAATCCCATATTTTAAGCGAAAACTTTTACAGAAAGAGTATTCCTGTTCCAATAAAGTGAACTGTTTATCTAAAATCTATTAGATATTATGTTTCGGCTATTTTCTCTTGTATTAAGAGGAATATGTTTTTTTTAAGCGGAATGCCCTCTTACTTGCGATATGAGTAACACGAAAAGCAATGTGTATCGCTGCGTTCTGCCGCATGACGATTCATTGAAGTGTTGCGCCGCATTTGCAAAAACAGACGCAGTAAGACTGCGTTTTGTTATTCGTTGTACATACTGAAAAACTACAGTACAAATAATGTGCATTATAAATATAGATTTACAGTACAAGATTTGTACTGTAAATGCAAGACGAAATTATTCTAACTATTAGAATATTGTGCACAGAATATTTTCCTCTTAATTTCAAAGGATTCCTCTTGAGGCCATATATAAGAATAAAATTCTCTAAGATTTAGCGGATTCCACTAATATTAAAATTATTTTTTTTTTAGTGTTTTGCATATGATATTTATTAGTATTTGCATTTTTCGAAATGTCAAAATTGCATGGACGCTCGCTGTCGGGCTAAACGCATAACGTCACGTCCATTGATAGAGATCACTTTTGGCTCGTGAAGATGACGCGCGCACAAACGTCATTTTAATTATGTTTTAATTACCAAGCGACGGACTCAAGACGAATCTGTTGTGAGATTAGCGGCATCGCGATTTACTAAAATGGTAAAGCCAAACTTATATTAACCTTGCATTTGTACCTCATTGCAATAGTTAACTGTTGCTTAACGTAGATTAGGTGCTCGTATACGCTGGCGATCTGTTAAAACGTATTACATTTAGCAAGATTTTACTGAACCGAAAAATCTATCTGCAAATGATTGGCAGAGTATAAAGTATGTCATTTTCGGATATTGCAAGTATCACGAATATCTATAACGAATATCACAAGAATAACTCAATCATAAAAGGCAAGCGTGCACTATTTGCATTTGTTCGAGAAACCGACAATTGTATAAACGCGATGCGAGGAGCCAAGCGCGTTGCGTCGCGACGTTTCTATTCTCGCGTGAAGTTATCCGCGCACAATTGACACCATCTTAATTACGAAAAAACGACGGACGTGAAACGGATCGACTGCGAGACGACCGTCGCAACTCGTTTTGGTAAGTGGAACTTAATTGTATTAATCCCACATTTGAATTTATTACAATATTACATAGTCAACTATCACGTAACATGAATTCGGCGCTCGTATATTTAATTTGTTAAAACGTTATTTAATATTTTACAAGATTTATTCAATTGAAAAATTCACCTAACTGTCGACAAAGCGACGCGACGGCCGTATCTTATAATACTGCAAATATCGCGATCCAGCTGTACACTGTTAAATCTATAGTGTCAAATTTAATCTTACTTAAGACGCCACTGCTTCTACTTAATAAATAATTATTTTTAACTAAAACAATATGGTTATTTTTAAATAAAACAATGGAATTTAACCCAAATTTGGGTTAAATTTGAACTGTTTTAAATTATTTAATTCCACTGTTTTAATTAAAAATAACTATTTATTAAGTAGGAGCAGTGGCGACTTAACTAAGGTTAAATTTGACACTATAGATTTAACAGTGTAACTTCAAGTTTTATATTTAATTTGCGTAGTAATGCAAAATCAATTAATGTACCTTAATTCTGTACAGTCTTATTTTTCTGGTGTCATTATCAAATGCGCGTCGCATGTAATTAATAATAACGTTTAATGAAATTTATCTAAAGACATCCAATGGAAAGAAATCTTTATTGACAGACGCACTCTTCGCGCGCGCAATGTTTGATTTTTTATTCTTTACTTTTTGCTATATAACGTTTAAATGCAATTACATTGTATTACACTACCCCTCGATATACACAACGATACATCCCACGCTAATCTCGCACGTTATTATAATCCCAAACTGTCACATCATCATCAGATTTGCGATCTCTGATCGCCAACATCAACCGCCAATTAGCACCGCGAAAAAGAGTCAACAATATCCGCGATAAATTTCGATTACAACCATACACTTCAGGTGTTTTATTACTTTTCTAATTAGGGACTAGAAAAAACATGCGCGCGCTACGCGCATGCCAATACGACCAAATACGACACGACACGGAAGTCGAACGTGACACAATCGAGCTTAGAACAACCAATTGGCATTGCGGAAAAGAGGCAACAATGAATTTGACTCAGCCATAACTTCAACATAACACGGATTTTTTATTAATGGAATGGAATCAGAAAGAAGTATCTTTCCGTCGCTTTCCGTTTGTCTGTCTTGCGTCTCTTTCACTCTGTATCTGTTTCTCAATCTCCGTCTTTCTTTTTCTTTCTATTTCTCGCAAAACTTCAAATTACATAAATTAATTATATATATTTTTCTAATTAAAGATTTTAATACGTACATATTATACGTTATATGTATGTTTGTATAAGCTGATATTACACAAAGTGTCGTCTTAATATGCAATGTAACATATCGTTAGATATGTTAGATATAAACGAATAAAGGAAAAGATTTGTCATAATATATAGCGAATGGTAATATAGTTTACTGATTAAATATTCGTACGGTTGTGTATTATTCAGGGGTCGGTCGTATTTATAATAATATTATTTAAAATATGTATTTTAAATAAAAAAAGTAAAAGAATTATTTAGTGTTTATTATTCTAAATAGCTTCTTCTAATCTATTTCTTACTTAATATTTTAAGGGGTTACACCACCTTGACCGCCTAAAAATCAATCGATAACTTTGGGAATTTTTTTTAGGAAAACAATAAAAGTAACAAAAAATTCGTTTTAAGGCTTTAATAATACAAGTCTTTAGAAGTAAAAATATTTTTTTTTATTTTTTTAACAAAATGGCGACGCTGAAGCCAATTTACTAAACGTCGCTTTGTCAAATCGGCGTTGCGGGGATCTGCCATTCGATTGAACTTGGAGACAAAAAACCAAAATTTTTTAAAAACTATATAATATGCACTAAGAAATACATACGGATATTTTGATATGTTAAATACCTTTTTTTATTTAATATTTCTTGACAAAATTTTTTGGCCGAAAATGACACTTTTTTTCAAATGTTCGCAATTTTTATAAAAATCTATATTTCAAAATATTCGTATGTATTTCTTTAGTGCATATTATATAGTTTTTAAAAAATTTTGGTTTTTTGCTTCCGGTTCAATCGAATGGCAGATCCCCGCAACGCCGATTTGACAGTAACTACAAAACGACGTTTAATAAAATGACTTCAGCGTTGTCATTTTATTAAAAAAATAAATGAAAAAAAAATATTTTTTCTCAATAAATTAAATTAAAACAATGGACAATCAAGGGCAAATGAGCCAAAGGCAAGTTATTGGTAGCCAAAAACAATTCTATTTTAAATTGGATTCAGACGTTTCGGCTTCAATTAAGCCATATTCATTGGATCAATATACAAATTATAGTCAATTAATAAAACATAGAGACATAGAATTTCATTAAATTTCGCAACAGTAGAGACTTAAAAACTATTTGGCATGCTTCGCTATTATAAAAAA